GTCAATTTTGATTGCCATTCAACTACATTATTGGCTGAGTATTAGCTATTGCAGATAAAAGAGTGTGTAATCAATCAAACACACCCTAATTGATTGTTCTCTTCAAAGAACAAAGTATCTTTACAAGCAGTATATGTCACTTCAACAAGCACACACACAGAAAAAAAAAAAGGATCGTCAGTCAGGGGCCAATAAAACGAAACCGAGCCAGGGGCAGAGAAAGGATATTATCATTAAGTCGTCTCATAGTCATGCTAAAAACCACAAATATTATTTCTACACAGCCCTCCTCCCCTTGTAACGACAGAAAAGGCTACAATTGCCCCGTGTTTTCAGACCGTCTAGCGCTCGAGTGCATTAGAAGGCTTTTTGTTTTAATTGAACAGGCATGGACTCGCTTTCCTTCAAATGAGCTCCTAAAGTGACAGTTAGAAAGCGTTGTTAAAAGCGTTACGATCGCTTCGATTTGTGTTTACAAGCAGACAGGGAGACACTTGTAAAACTTTTAATGTGCTTTGAAAGACTCGTTGCGAAATGTCATTTTTGAAATCGCCTCGATTGTTATTCCGATCGCATAAACCGGGGCTTGTACAATAAGGCGTGATTAGCACGTCAGATTTTTCTTCACACTTCGTCATGAAAGATTTTCAATTCCTTTCCCACCGGTTTCAGAGTCTGTGTTTGTGTGTGTGAGAGAGTGTATTGGGTGGTCAGGACCCCTCTGCATTCTTCAGGCCGATCTACTGCCCCTGGGGCCGCCTGGCCTGGCGTATAATTGCCCTCCGCTACAGATAGTTACCAGCCTTCCCTGTCCCTCTCCTCTTCTCTTCTTCCCCCTGTTTATTCTCTCTGATTTCAGGCTCCTTTGGGTCATCATTCATCAATGGGGCCCCCAGCCCCTGAGGACCTGACCAGGAGGCCCCTGTTACTACGCCTCCATAACCAGAGGCCATTTCTGATGGAGGCGCATTATACGGGGAACAAGAGAGCATGAAAATGCAGCACGAGGCAGGGGGTGAACGGCGGTGATTATTATATCCAGATAATCATTTCAAACAAATTATCATGATAATCAATCAATCGTCACATTTGAAGCACCTCGCCTCAGGGCTGAACAACGCCCCCCCCCTGTGACCTGTAATGTATTTTGGGGGCATAATCAGATGCCCTAAATGTACAGGGCTGCTTGAGATGATATTTTCACAGGAGCGGATTTTCCTGGTTCAGTTCCGCTAACATTGGAGATTCATCATTTCTCCTGCGGACAGACCTCCTTCTGCTGATGTTAATGGGTAAAGCTACTCTCCTCTCACCTTTCCATCAAAAGTGGTGCATGTACTGAACCACATGGTTGAACGCTTAAGATGAAGGTACAATATGTAGTTGATCATAAAAGTACTTCTACTATACATACACACATTTCCAGTTGAACCAAATTTTATTCGCACAACATTTCTCACATCATCACAGTTTATTCGCTATAGTTTAGAAAATGGTAATACAATATGACAAGGATCCAGAGTTATCAAATCAGATCATATTTCACTGGTTTTGGCCATCCTTCTGTTAGACTGTCTCACAAATGAATTTTGTTAAATTTAACTACACAATTAGAAAATACCAATTTTGGTCGACCAACTAGCAAACAATGCTTCATTTTGTTCAGTCTGTGGTTTAAAAAGATCACATTAGCAATTAAAGAAAAAAACACGTAAGCAAAACATGATCAGGTCAAAGTGTCCCAAATTTTTGGTCATGATTTTTTATAAATGTTACAGGTAGTTCACTATATCAAGAATTTTTGGGTAAAATATGTCACAGTTTACTTCATTTTGCCATCCTCACTTACTTAAATTAAAGGGACAGTTCACTTTGAGATTAATTTTTGCCATGTTTTAGCTTACCTCAAAGGCATCCAAGATGTAGTTTCCACAGTAGTTTCAATTTTGATATTTTTAGGTCAAACCGTTCTTGTCTATCAGTCATATAATGGAGGTCTATGGTCACCACCTCAAAGAGCATGCACAGAGAAGTCCAAATTAAACATGATTTAATGACTCGTAAATGTAAGTACACATTGATGGCCTAAGACACGAAACGAGCGGTTTGTGTGAGAAAACGAACAGTATTTATATCGTTTTACCTCTTGGAACCACAGCCACATCCAAGTGATCTGAGGGCCTGGGCGCTTCGGTCCGGAAGTGACCTCTCGTGCGTGTACGTCACTCATTGTTTACACAGAGATTTTGGAAGCATTACCTTTCACTGTGAAGATCTAAACATATTTAAATATACAGGAAATCGCAATGCAAGACGATTTTGAAATATATCAACAGACAACGTTGAATTTTTTTTGCAACCACGCAAGAGATCACTTTCAGCGCTTTCCGGCGCTTGTGCAGACCGAAGTGTACTTACATTTACGGGTCATTAAATTAATTAAAGTTTAATTTAGACTTCTCTGTGCATGCTCTTTGAGGTGGTGACCATAGACCTGTATTATATGACTCACAGACACAAATGGTTTGACCTAAAAATATCAAAAATGAAACTACTGTGGAAACAAAGACACCTACATCTTGGATACCCTTGAGGTAAGCTAAAAAAAACATAGTAAAAATGAATTTCAAAGTGAACTATCCCTTTAACTATAGTGTCCTGCTCCCACTAGTAAATAAATAAATAAAATTAAATCTGGTGTGTGAATAATTTTTGGTTTGACTGTATATACATTTACTGACATTGACAATTAGTCTTGTGATTGTACATTCAGACCATAATCATTCCTCGATAAAAACAGTGTAAGTTAAAATAACACTGGGCATTTTTGAAGTCTATGAGAGGTCAGTCACAGCAGGGGCCACAAAAGCACTGATACCATCTCAGAGAGCTTGTCAAAAGAGCCATTAATCTCTTTCCCATTAAAACATCAGCCGCCTGTTTTAGCTACATTTACAAAGCCAAATGTTTTAATATCCAGCCAGACACGCAGGCACAATGCCGGAGGCGATCTGTTTCAAATACAATTACAACACATTGATTTTCTATAATTAATCTATGTCTCAGTGTACTGTCATTGGCAGTTCACTATAAGCTTGTGTCACACTCTCACACTTACACACACTTTTGGGACAAAGTATGGTGGATTACATTTAAAAGAGCTCAAATCAAGGCTCAGGAATGTGTGTTTGTGTGTGAGCACTGGACAGATAGACTCAGATAGGCATCTCTGTTTCTGAGAGTGTTTGTGTTGTAAAGGAGGGATAACTGGTTAAAAGCAAAGGATAAATAAATAAAAGAAGCTCTTTTTCTTTTTGTATATCTGCCGGGATTTGACTTAAGAAATCTTTCAGCTCTCATAATAGTGTTTTTATGTCTGAGCAGATGCATCTCAGAGACACAGGATGTGAGAAAAAAAAAATAGATGGATAATGTTATAGATTATCTGGTACACACGTTTTCATTACATAACCTTAGCATGGGTTCTGCCCTCTCACACACACACACATTCTCTGTATCTGAACTCACACACAAATAGACACAAATACTTTCTCTTATTTGCTGGCACATTAACATATGTTCAGATCTGTGACAGTGCATTTAGTCTATTAGGGTAGATGATGAGTGAGGCAGTTATTCATAACACCTCATGTATAATTCATGATATTAATAAGGATGCTTGGAGCATGTAGGAGTTTTTTGGGTGACTCAACTTAGTGAATAAATCAAATTAGTTGTGAAAGACTTTGATGTGCAACACAATTTTGTTGAGAGGTCTCGTTAGTTTCGCGAGTCAGTTCATTTGGACAGTGGAATTGCTTCTTTTTTGACTCTTTATTCACACTATATTATTTATTCACATTATATTACTCAGAGGTCCCTGTTCACCATATTTAAGTTAGATAGTGCCAAATGTTTAAAGTTAAGTTGAAATGATTGTTCAAACTCTCAGCAAATTGGTCAGTGTGAATAATAATAATAAAAAAAACAAGTTCAAAAGAAATGGTTCATTAAACAGGAATCAAACTGAAATCAAGTTGTACCACAAGAAAGAAAGACAGAAAGAAAAGAACAAAGAAAGGAAGAAAAAAATAATTAAATTATATATATATATATTGCTAACTAAAGGTAAATCTATTCAACTCTTGAAACTCTTTGGAGCTATAGACTGGTTCTCTTAAAGGGATAGTTCACTTTGAGACACGAAATCAGCAGTTTGTGTTAGAAAACGAACAGTATTTATATTGTTTTTACCTCTTGTTGTGGTTACAAGAGGTAAAAACAATATAAATACTTTTCGTTTTCTCACACAAACGTTTCGTGTCTTAGGCCATCAGTGTGTACTTACATTTACAAGTCATTAAATCATGTTTAATTTGGACTTCTCTGTGCATGCTCTTTGAGGTGGTGACCATAGACCTCCATTATATGACTGACAGACAACGGTTTGACCTAGAAATATCAAAATTGATACTAAAGACACCTACATCTTGGATGCCCTTGAGGTAAGCTAAAACATACCAAAAAATAATTTCAAAGTGAACTATCCCATTAAAGTGACTATGCCCAATCAATCTGTTTTTTCCAGTCTTGCATAACCTATTTATGTATGACCCGACCGGCTTAACTCAGTACAGCACACCATGGGAGATGTCCTAGCCCTCCACCTTACCCAGCACCACCTCGGGGGTTCTCCCAACTTTTCTTACAGCGGATTGCATTCTATTAACTGTATTGATGTCCATGTTGTGGCAGTAGCCTTCACTCAAGACTATATGTCCTATATCAATAAATGCTGTTTAAATCTCTCTCACATATAAAGATACTCCCTGTCACTGTGTTTAATACATTTATTTTCACCTTTGGTTCGCATAAAGAACCCTATTATTAGCAAACTGCTGTTTCTCATTTTGCTTTTGTGTTGTTCGTGAGTGTGTGTGGTGAGATCAGCATATCTGTTAGATCTGTAAAGAGGGATGGACTGACAAAACAAATCCTACCTTTTTAATACAGCTGTCTTGAGACGACGTTTCATGATCATTCAGCATTTGCTGTGAAGACAAAAGACAGTTAATGATTAGCTTCTAAACATTAGTTAATGATTACTAATGACGACCATCAAATACAACATCATGTCATTTTTATGGCCTGAAATCAGCACTTCATTGACAATTCGAAAGACTAATGTCCCGTATGACTTCAAATATTCTCATTTTACACTACAAGTGTTTCAGAAGGATTAAAAACAGAAATGATACTTTGGTTAGCCAGAAAGAAAACAAATTAATATTTGACCTGTAAAAGAGTCCATATGATCATGTTGGCGTGGTACTGCTTTTGCGGGTGGAGGTATTACTTGTGGTTTTCATTGGTAATTGTTTTTGTAAAGATTTAGTTCAGTTTGAACCAGAATATTCTAGACTAGCTGAGATTAGATGAGGGCTTTGAAACGTGCCAAGAAGTGAGTATTAAATGGCTACTGAGTGATGAGTCTGTCCCCCCGCTGGGACGCCACTATAGTAGCACAGGTTAAAACCATCCTGAGTCCCGAGTGGGATGAAGTGAATGCTGAAAAGTTTGAACCTAGACAGTTGGAGGAGATGTGGAATTAAAGGGCCTTCAGGAATATTTATATAGAATGCACCCAGTGTCCTGCTCATATGAGAAGCGAGCTTGTTCCAGGTTTGGAGATAATGGGACCTCATATGAATCTCAGTGGCCTTCTTTCAGAATTGAACAGGAAGAGGCTGTGCGGTAGGGATTATTGGGAGCGTATGCAGGTTTTAAAGTAATCTGCAGTGCCCACAGCCCACCCGTTTCCTGTCTCATCCTCTGAATGAGGGGTGTGTGAGTGTGTGCAAAGGTTCTGATGGATTCTTGGATTGAATGAGACAGTTGAAGATTTCAGATGGGCTAAACCACAGTGAGGTGGGTCACATATTTTTGATAAAGGTAGACAGAAGGACAGTTGTCTAGTCTAGTGCATCACCTGCTTTTGCCATTTTTGGTTTGATAAATGAATTTTATATAATTAATAATTCCTTATAAATTAGAAATAGAATTAATGGGGATTGCGTTTTTGGCCTGACCAGAGTCCAAATGTGTTCCTATAGCCAATATTCACATTTAAATTTGACATAAAAATGAAAACATAAGCTGTCATTCTGTCTTTATTCTCTCGATATAATGCAAAAGCCTCTAAGTGCCATTTGAAATTTTCTTCTAAAATGATCATTTTTATCAATCTTGTATATGTAAGTTCAGTAATTTCACTTAAATGGCAATGATAATTACCTATTAATTGTCATTTAAGTGAAATTACTGAACTTAAACACACAAGCTTGATAAAAATGGTCATTTTAGAAGAAAATTTCAAATGGCATTTAGAGGCTTTTGCATCTGAACTCTTCATATATATTTTTAGATTTTAGCTGACATAACACATATGAAAAAAAATAATGTGCCATCCACAAAAGAAAAAGAAAAATCATATTTTTTTCAATAAGTAAACTTCAAGGAAATGCCTGTAAATGCATCATCACGTTTATCTTTTGTTTTGATTATTTAATTTATGTGGTGATTATTTGATTTTTGATTGCTTAGAGTGATGATGACCTTAAACGCATTGCCAAATAAACACAGAAAGACCCTTTAATATAGCATACATCTTGGTTTTGGTTCCATTTGTTAGTAACGTAACAGTGAATGAGGTGAATGTGATTGCAAAGGTGAGTGAGTCACTGAGGGCGAAAGACAAACAGAATCAGTGACTCTTTTACAGTCTGTACCGCCTTTATCGGGGTTTGATTGACAGCTCTGCAGACTGCCCAAAAAACTGTGGTTCTCTAAATTAGGCTGTCAATGTATCCAAGCTGCCCGAGTGGAAGCAATTACATCACAAATACTCAAACAAGTCTACTTAAACTACTTACATCCATAATTCAATCCTGCAGCGATGTCAGAGCAGCACGTACAGTGTCCAAAACAACTTTACGCTTGAACCCCAACCCCATCTACATATTCCTTATTCATTTATTTGCATTTTTTCACACTCATGTCTTTAATTTTTTGCACCGCAGCATGTGATAGCAATAATCTCGCACGTGCACAAGCACATAGACTATATGCACATACACATCAGCACACACACACTTACTGAAGTACAGTGTGTGTAGTGCAATTACTCTGCAGTTTGCTGCCAAACAAACGTTCTACATTTACTCTGGGAAGAAGGTGAGTTAGATTTTCCTTTTAGAGTTTAAAGGTGTTAGAAATTGTTGAATTTCATGGAAATTAATAATGTAACTAAACAAACAGAGCTGAGAGTTGTGAATTGCTGGTGGGGGGATGAGAACGTGTGAAACAGTGTGACAGATTCATAAACCGAGTTCACAGCACAACAGCTCTGTTTAGATTGTAAAACACTACCAGGTGCTCTCTCAGGTAAGTGAATAGTTTCATGCCAGACGTAAATACGCATATCAAATTATGCAAAACAGACCCAAAACTGTCAAACATGCTCCAAACACACAAATTCTTGTTGCACTGTATATACATTTCGGTTTTTCAACTCATTCCATTTTTTTTTTCAGGTGAATGCAATTTTCTCAATGACTGATTGAATGGTAAAGTCAGGAAAACATGGCATTGCTACCTGAAATTTGCTGAATCTGGCGAAACATCAGACATTCTTATCCACAATCAATCAATGATATATATACAGTATATATATATATATATATATATATATATATATATATATATATATATATATATATATATATTAGGGCTGTGCAAAAATTAATTGCGATTAATCGCATCCAAAATAAAAGTCTGTGTTTACATAATATATTTGTGTGTGCTGTATATAATTATTTTGTATATATAAATAAACACACATGCATGTATATATTTAAGAAAATGTGTTATTCATATATAAAATATTTATATTTATATAATATAGATTATTTATTTATAAATATATACAGAATTTAGGCACAAATAATTCTTAAATATATACATGCATGCATAGGTACTTATAGGTACTTGTATATACAAAATAATTATATACAGCACACACAAATATATTATGTAAACACAGACTTTTATTTTGGATGCGATTAATCGCAATTAACTTTTGCACAGCCCTAATATATATATATATAATTGATTGATTGTGGATAAGAATTTATATATATATATATATATATATATATACCTTATATATTTATATATACTTATATATATATATATATATATATATATATATATATATATATATATATATATGTATATATATATATGTATATATAAATATATAAAGGTTTCTATACTGGGGTTAGGCTGTGTTAATCGGAAGTTCTTTTTAGTGAAAAATCTGTGTGTGTGTGTGTGTGTGTGTGTGATTATCTTCATATGCTTCGGGACTCGGCCATACAAATGACTTACACTGTATGTGTGAGTGTGTCAAGCGAATAAATAATGTATTAATTAGACGTCTGGAAAAAATGATTTGCCACAAGTGCTGGTGTGATTTATGACACGTCAGAATCATTTTAACTTTCCTCACTTTTTTTTTTTCCTTTGGCGACAGGACAATTTGTGCCACAGATAGAGAGGGAAGAGAGTGAGAACGCTTTCCCCAAACAGACGTAAAACGCACAATTGAACCTCTCACAAGCTTCTCGAAGCGTTTGCTTACACAAGTTTGTCAGGGTTTCTTATGTAAATGAAAATGGCTGTGAAGCTCTAGTGATTAGCGTGTCATGCTGACAGTGCTCGAAAGTGTCCGAAAACAGAGGCACTATGGTGGAGAACTGTAAAAATAAATACGAGAAGCCACCTGTGCGGTGATTCAACGCGAGTGTCTGAAGCAAATTAGCACCGGGTGTTGCTAGTGTGTGTTGTTTTACTGTTATAAGCCCACCTTTGTTAGCAGGCACCATCAGGACTTCTTCTTCTCAACCTCAACCCTATTTATATTGACACACAGAGTGAACAAAAGAAAACAAGCTCACAGCACACATCCCAGCAACATTTTCCAGCACAGCCGCCCTAATAGACACACGACGGACAAAGAAAACAGTGCTTGGCCTCAAAGGCTGTGCTTTGCGTGACACCCAACGTTGAAGAGAAGACGGCCTAGATCGCGTCTAACAATGAGTCCTTGTCGCGGGCTAATTGGACTTCGATCTAATTGCAATTAGAGAAGCTCGGTAAACCTTCGGTGAGCCAACTAAGCAGTTTGTCTCCCAGCTTGACGTTGGGGGTATGGAGTAAAACAAGCACATTTTAAGGGCTTTGCAGAGGGAAAATTTCAGAGAACGTTGCCAAAAACAATTCCCCTCAAGTCTGGATAATGTGAGGCAATATAGAAGCGCGGCCAATAGATGGTTATGGATGTCAAAAGCCACAAGTTTCCAAAAAAGAACCAGTAGAGACCAACCTCAAGGCCTTTTGAACCGAGTGAGTGACATCCTGTTGGCTCAGACGACCACACCAAGAAAGCCACAAAGTGAAAGTTTTGCTTCGCAGTTGTTGAGAATGTTCTCTCGTTTTTTGGTGTGTGGAGAGTTTAGATATGCAAATGCGAGATTGTTATTGAGCTTGTCGATTAATGCGGAAGCGGTCTGCGCTCAGTTTGTGGCAGACAAATCTGAGATGTGACTGCAGAACAAGAGAGAGGTTTTAGAAACTGGGGTTTGCGAATTCTGGAGCTCATAGTCTGAAACACAACAAAACCATGATGTCAAACATAATAAATCGGATTAATTGCTGTGAGAATACACACATATCAAAACCATTATGCTAAAGGATGTCTAATCTTCTGTAAAACATTGGAAAAACGTGCCTATGGTGACATTACTGCAAAATTATTTGGGCTGTCAAACGATTAATCGCGATTAATCGCAACCAAAATAAAAGTTTGTGTTTACATAATATATGTGGGTGCACTGTATAATTATTTTATATGTATATAAATACACACACATGCTTGTGTATATTTAAGAAATATTTTGTTTTTATATATAATTTATATTATATATAAATA